TACTGGCTGTGTTTCTGTCAGGCATTCTATTCTTCGCAAGCGGATCGGCTTTCAACAAAAAATGCAGCTCTTCTCGAAACTCATCAACGATAAAAACGATGCGCGCAATTGCGAACGAATATCCATATGAATGGTGTGTTGGAATCAACGAAAATGTGGTCAGAAAAGGATAGCCAACTAAACTACATTAATCACCTCATAGAAGAGTGGGCGTGTTACCTTCATCCATTTCAAAGCTGCGGTAATGGGGACGTGGACTTACATTCCATTTGTCCCCTGGCCTGCTGCAAATATATGAAGCCGAGAGACTACTATCAAAGATTTGGCGCTCGCGTGAACTCGCACATAGAGCCTGCGCTGCAGAAGTATTCCAAGAATGGCAGAACGCCCACGAAGTAAACAGCATTCACCTCTCTACCAGAGAGGTTAACCAAAATTTGTTCCCGGACTCATGCGAAGCAACGGTCCGATTTGATACAAACCTTTTATGGGTCTTAAATAGACAAAGAACTGAAGCTCAGGGCTCTTCTCATTCATTCGGTGCTCCGTACATTTTGAGAGTTTAGAATATACCATTCCATAAGGAAAGTATTGATCAGACACGTTTGCACCTGTAGGGCCGTGGCCCACTTGTTAACCCACCCCATTGTGGATTACTCGTGACTGATACTACTATTTGCCAGCAAAACACGGGCTTCCTACAGATTGCCCTGGGCGACATGATTTGCCCTTCTTCTTCTTACCTCGGCAGGAACATGATCATTGTCATCAGTGGGAACTCATGGCAGACAACAGCAATCACGGAAGCCCACACAGCTGGTGAAGTCAAAATTCTCAGCCATGGCACCTAAATCAGTCAAGCAGAAATGAAGATCGCTGTTGATCAATTAATAAAATCTTTCATATCATGATCATTAGCCTTTCGCAAAAGGTCTTTCAAACTTTACATAGTTATAGGTGGAGATGTAGTCGGAAGCAGCAGCGCCCCTGGTCTTTCACACTAAGCGCTAGACCGCGAAGAAGGACGGATAGTCGACTTCATCTATGGGTAGAGACGGTTTTTAGCTAGTGGGATACCTCTCTCATTTATAAAGCAGAAACTTGGAGTGTCGGTTCGTCGGTATGTTTGTCTGACCGTCCGAGAAATTTATGGTTACGATAAAGGTAGTGATATGGAAAACCTAGCTCTATTCTACATTTCTCTACATTTGTTCACCTAAGGGGGGAAGGAGGGGGGCGGGGAGGGAATTTTCTAACTGCTCTGAAAAAGTAAGGAATGAGGGCCGATGTAAGCCGGGTGACCCAACTAGTCGTTTATAAACCAAGCCTTAACTTTATGAAACTATCACCTGAAGAGGAGCACCATATTGAGTGAGGGAATTCGTGCAAAAAGCTGGGATGGGGTAAAAATTGAAGAATCAGTTGACCCATTCAGTGCTCCTTCCTCCTTGGGTTTGGTAGAAAAACTATATTCTCTACATCAAGGAACATTCTCAAGCAGTACCGCTGCGGACTCACGAAGCAGACTATCCTCGGTACCTCCCCTACCTACATTTACACCAGTTGCCACTATGTAGTATCCATCGTTCCCGAAAAATATATCACACGCCTTTACTAACTCGCTGCCTTTCTTGTATTGACTGATTTCATTGAAGTACTATATCTAGAACCACATTTTTGAATGTGATTGCCATCGCCAAGAAGATATTACACATTTTTGTAAGGTCATTTCAAATTCCACCCACTTTTCGCTCGGTCCTTTTCTTTCCAACATCTTCACTTGCATTGGATAATGTGATGAATTTCAACTCAGCGTCGCTAATACACGTCTGCTTACTAGGCTTGTCGGCACCTAAACAATTAGAATTATATGAACCCCTGCTTTTTTTGATCTTCATGCTCTGAGTTCAGAAGTGTTAGTAACATTCGTATAAGTTCAGCATTGTTCTTTAGACGGTAAACCTTCTGAAACATGAAGTTCCTTTGTTGGGATCACTTCCGAAAAGAAAAAAGCATAGCAGCACTATGGAGGGATAAAGTGCATTGGGGTGATGTTGCGATGTTACGAATGTTAACGAGCATCACTGAGATCTTGGAAATTCCAGGATGGCGATAGCGGGGAGCAAACCCGTTTGATACGCCCCTGAAGCGAGACCTCTACCACTGCGCCACGTCGATGCTTGATATCAAAGCGGCGAGTTCGCATTTCTAATCGACACAACTGTCGAGCGAGCCCCACAACCTCTTTAGGAAAGCCATTTTGAAAGTTTTAATTCCCATATTCGTGAACAGTTCCACTCGAAACTCCATCGATTTATCGGAGTCTACATTGGAAGTTAGATTTTAGGTAACCTTCTTGGTAAGTCTCTAAAAGTTGTTTCTACTCCTGAGCTNGCGAGTTCGCATTTCTAATCGACACAACTGTCGAGCGAGCCCCATAACCTCTTTAGGAAAGCCATTTCGAAGGTTTTAATTCCCATATTCGTGAACAGTTCCACTCGAAACTCCATCGATTTATCGGAGTCCACATTGGAAGTTAAATAGATTTTAGGTAACCTTCTTGGTAAGTCTCTAAAAGTTGTTTCTACTCCTGAGCTTAGCTTTTCAGGAAAGTGAACTAGAAAGATCACAGAATTTATAATCGATTCCTGGAAGACCCTGCAGATAAGAAGTACACTGTGAAACACGAAGGTTTGGTCCTACGTGATTTTTGCAAACATTGAACTCACCAATAACAGAGTAAGTGATCACGAAGAATATCCCTACTGCAGCAGAGAGGTAGAAAATAGACGGCCAGCCACCGAACAGTGCCGTTTGAGCACAGAGCGCACCAGCAGCCGGGATTATAATGAGGGTGCCTGAATTTAGTGGTTCATTCGAGTTGGGTTCCGGTCGAACTCTTTTCACCTAGTTGACGTCCGCCCGTCGCCAATCCAAGAGCGTAGCTCCTTTCGGTATTTGGGAACCATCGAGTTATCAGTGAGTTCACTGCTGGTTGTAGAAGGGCATCCGCAAAGCCGACAAGGAATCGGCCTGCTACAGCGAAATAAAAGCTGAAAGTAGTAAGTATTGCGTCAAGTGTTAAATCATAAGAGCAAATGCAAAGTAAAGCAGTAACGGCGACAGAGCCCACGCACTGTGGAGATCGTAACCCAGAATAATACCCTCCCTGGCAGACCATCCATCCCTGTGGGGTTGATTATCTGGTTCAAGACTCGTGTGAGGGATAAAATACTGAGTTGCTTGTCAGCTGCTTACCGCAACTTATTGTGTAGGCCTTGTATGCATCCCAAACGTCACTACGATTCTGAGTGGGCGTTGAATGCGAGAGCGCGGGCCCACCTCTCAGACGGGACCGATTGAGGTCAAAAGACTTCCTCTTCTCTATCCATGAATTCAAAAAGTCAGAGAAAGGAGTAACTCTCACCTGAGTTTGGAGAATTTGGCGATGACGATATTAGCTATGACGGCCAGACTCACACTTGTGACAATCATATACTTGGCATTGAACTTATCCGCAAGGAAACCAGTAACAAGCATCAACAGAAGGCCAACGTTGAACGCGGAAAAAATATAGCCCTGGAAGTGAGGTGTACTAATTAATTCTCAGAATTCTAGGTTAAGTCAGGGCATTGTAAGCCAGTGTGTAACCCGCTAATCCAGAAATGCTGCGACGTATTGTTCCGATCAGGAAGCTAACTCTTCGCTTCAGATGAAAGCACAAGAGCGCATGTACATCGGAATAAAAAAGGTTCCACCAATGCGATTCCGTCGAAATTGGGGCTATGTTTCTAAGATATAAGTCAATGCTATTGTTGCGGGGATTGAACCGGCTACAAGAACAACATCGGCTCAGTACGGAGTTGATGTTTGCTGAGCTGGCATAATGTAAAAGCAATCATAGACCAATGCTCGTCAATATTCCCAACATTAAAGTAAAATTCTGAGGACAAAGCTCACTTCCTGATCGGAAGTCCAGCTGAGTCGAGGTGCTGCTTCTTCATCATCTGATGTGGTTTGATTGATGTCCATGTATTCAGACGAGTTCACCATGCACACCACTGCCATACCCATGTTGCTGTTCATCATGTGCACGCTGAAAATACAAGTTGAGAATAGACTAGACTGAATAAAAATCTAAATAGACTGCACTCCAACGGTCATCACTATATCGCATAACGTGTCGGTCTACCTGCTCTTCGATTCCTTGATGTAAGCAATAGCATTCCTGACCCTTGTTCGCTGACGGAGCTTGGACTTCCGGTTCCCCTCCCACCGTATAGTAAAATCCCAAGATCGCCCTTTTCAGAACGCACTGAATGAGGCTGACTGCATGCACATCTTGCATTCGTGTACAGTCCAAGTACCCTAGGTGTGAGTCAAAGCAAAAAAGTGAGCGCAGAAGAGTTTTTTGCCTTCCTCACTGCTAGCTCGATATTCCTAAACCAGTTGGGCTACGCACGCTAATGCGTGCACCACATACCCACCATTAACAGATGTCTTTATCACTGGACCTTCTTTCCTCCACGGGTACATCATTAGCTGAGAATCCCAAACCATTGGCGGTCGAATGAGCTTTCATGTAAATGATGTCAAAACGTAAAGTAGCCTTGATCTTCCACCGAGTTACAAACCTTGCTGGGTAGCGGTCGTAATCTATATTATAGTCGTAATCAGAAATACATCGTAAATACCACAGGAGTTAAACTCAGTTGATAAGGCTCTTATCAGTCGTTATCAGCTGTTATCAGTTCCTATCATCGATCGTCTACGATCCCGCCGGAGCTAGGTCGCTCATTATGTTGACTTCTTTATCCAGATACACACAGCATGAGCATCCAAGGATGTTCATTCGGTTAAGCGTAAAAGGAACGCCACGTAACAATTCGCTGCTTATGAACGACATCTTTCTTAAAGTTACAGTTCACGATAATTTTGTGGTATCCTTATCAGGTTGAGAAGCGGAAGTGTTGAATTAGAGGAGTACATCGGTGGAGGAGAAAGCGATGGAATCCGCCTACTTCAAGCTTTTCAAAATTAGCGGAAGTGGAGGTTCTACGGGATCATTGCGGCAGGAATGGCATGTGAGGGGTTTTTGGACGAGATTTAACTTGAGCTGACTACATCAAATCACAAATGTCTGGAATTGCCTTCCACTGTCGCCCTTATAACGACAGGTATGGTATAAGGGGAGCCTCGAATTCATACTTTTGAGAATTCTCAGGAACTGCGCCTTAAAAGGCACAGTTTACGAGAGAAACGGTTTTTGAGATTTTCCCATAGAATGAATTTGAAGTTCCCCTCCCCGCTCCCCCCATTATACCTTATCTGGCTTACAATGTAGAAAAACGTCCTGGATAGGGCACAAAAAGGGGCCAGAGATTTAAAGGCTGCACTATCTCAAA